TTCAATTTTTTTTATCAAAATTAACATCATAACAAATCTTGAAAATTTATAAATTACACATATAAAGTAAACATATATCAAGAAGTCTTAGTATTTGATACGCTACATCATTAATTTATATTTTTTGGCTTTGAACAAATTTTGATGTATTGTAACTTAAGATATATGTCAGAGTTATGAAAAAGAAATTTTGAATTCAAAAATTGAACTTTATTTCAAAAATTTTATTATTAAAAAATTTCGAAATTTTTCATCTACAGGATAAATTTATCATGATATATGCATAATTTATTAAATTCAATACTCTATATTGTAAAAAACGTAATGGATTATTTGATATAATGTATAAATTTATTGAATTTATCTTTTTATAAAATTGATAAATAATGAAAATATTTATATAAAATTTAGTGTGCAAGATAATATATATTTTTTGTATCATTTTTAAAATAAAATCAATTTAAAATAGAAATATCATTAAGTTTCATATTTGTTAAATTTTATCACAAATTTTTTCCATAATTTGTATGTTAAAGATCTTATTACAGTGACTAAAACAAAATAAATTTACAAACTTAGTCTACAAATTTTAGCCTAAGAATATTTTTAATTGACATTGATTTTACTTTAATTCATGAATTTATATATGTTTTGTATTTATAACAAACAGAAATTTTTTATTTAAGAAGCTTGATTTAATAAATAAGTTTAAAATTTTTATTATTTATATAAAAATGCTTATATGATCAATAATTGATAAAGTCATCATTTAAATATATAAATCAAATACAGGTTATCATATCAAATCATTGAGTTTTCATTAAATTGAGATATTTGCTTGATGGGATCCCATCCAAACATAAATTGCTTGATGGGACCCATCAAGTTTCAATTTATCCGATGGGACCCCGCCGACGGTCCACATCACTCTGTTCAAGTATTAACAGACGACGGTGTTTGATTCACAACTCGTTTTACCTTCGGCATGTAATACTTCATTTAGCCGTTTGCATCGCTCCGTAGATTAAACCACTTTCTTGGGAAGAATGGCATGGTAAGGTGGGGATGATGAAAAAATAAAAACCTTCCTTCCAGGAGCTCATGGAGGGAAGGTTCAGTTTTTATGTTTGCTAATTGCGGTGATCAAGCTATGCATTCTGAACAGTTTAGGTTTGGAACCCACTTCTATTGAACTCGAAATCTCAAAGCGTGTATGTCGCGTGAATATATTCTCCTGACCGATCAGTTTTTTGAAACGATGCTACAATTTTAGGTGTGTCGAGTATTAGAACTTATATATACAAGAACATACCTATACTAGAATACATACTAGAACTCAAAGACGACACACGGTCCGTGGGGTGCTATCGGGTAAATTGAAACTTGATGGATACCATCAAGCAATTTACATTTGGATTGGATACCATCAAGAAAATAATTCTCACTAAATTCTAGACTTCATTTTTTATAAAAAAAAGACATAAAATAAAATACACGTAATATTTTACATGTTACAAAATCATTGTATAACAAAAGTATAAAATATCATGAGTTAAAAAAAAATCAATCCCATGTTGTCATGCGCAAAAATCAATGAAAGTATGCATTCAACATAAAAGTATTTAGATAAGTACAAAAGAAAATTGAAATTGTATGTTTATAAAGATTTAGAGATAAGGAGTGTATGATTAAGTTCATAGAGATATTGCTCAACTGCATGTATGTACACAACATTGAGATATATGTAGTTCGAAGAAAGAGATTTAACATGAGAGAGATTGGTACATAAATTTATCTTCACTGGAATTCTATTAATGAGATCATAAATGTGTTGTTGTTGTTTGTCATGCATAGACGGGCCTTCCTAAAATCGGTGCGCCAATGCCGTCAAAAAGAAAATAAATCATGTGCTGAATAAAAACAAAATTCGGTTTATTTTCGGCGCAAACAAGCCCATACAAATAGATTTTTGGAATACTTTTATTGGCCAAAGAAATCAAAATGCTCCTTAGAATGAAGGACTTCTTCCAAAGAGAAATCCATTAAGAATTTGCGATATTCATTCTTTTTCAATCCAAGACGAGAAAAATCACTCTCAACCGTTGTTGTGTTTGGAAACATAGTTGCAAGGGCACAACAAAACCCTTTCAACATTTGAAATTGAGATTCAACAACACTCCATGCATCTTCAAAAGAAGTTGCGGTGTTCGTAATCCCATTCTTGAGTTCAGATTCCATACAAACGCTCTGAGCAACTATGCATAGACTTGGTTGATCATTTGAATCTCATCATTTGAAAAGCATAGCTTGAGAAGTGTGTTATGTACATCGAGTTGTTGTACAAGTGCACGCATATTAGAAGCAACAAGCTAGTGTGGCAATACAGTTGACAACTCTTCAGAGCATCATTCAAAGAATCTTCTTATGCCACAATAGCAGAGATGACGTCGACAAGATGTACAAATACAACACCAATGCATAACACGATGTGATTTTGAGTACGTTCTTCCATTTGATCCATAGTCACTAAAACCCACTGACCCATATTGTGCATACAGTACCGTATATGTGCATGTATCACGCTAAATAAGCCTCTTATCGACGATACCAAGGGGTCCGTGTTTTGCTACAGCTCTTCATTGAGAGACTCTTCTATTTGAGACATCAAAGTTTACGTATTGACCAACTCTTTTAATCGCACACGCTGCTACAATATCAATGTCTCCATTCTGTGTAGCTCTTGAAAGACAATGTTTGCTTCATCCACGATTGCATCCATTATATACATGAATACCTACCAAGAATCTGGAGAAATCCAATCTAAATTTTTCTGCAGTAAATATTGGTGGACCTCCACAAAGTGAAGCACAAGTCATGCAAGCACTTTGCCCATTGAAAGCGAACATACACGGCAAAACTTTGTACATTCACTTCTCATTGAGTTGATCAAGTTTTGTTGCCGTTTCAAGAAGCCAATCAGTTCTGTCAAACCCGAAAAAAATTTCATCGAACGCGGCCTCAAACACCGCATGCATCACAAGATCAAGTTGATGCAAACCACACCAAACTTGTACAATATCCGACAGCAACATCCGCTCAATCCTTGTAACAACTCCTCGCATTTTACAGGTCATAGACTTGTCACCATCTACTGACTATCAAACAATAGCAAATCTCCAGTATGGGAACAAGACATCAAAGAATTTCACAATCGGGTCTGACATATTTCCATCAATATGACGTTTGAACATAGGCAATGCAATCAAATGATAATTGCATATGTTTTTTTCGCGAAAGAATCAAACACGCAAGTCAAAATATGATTGACTATGATGCTTTGAACAATCAAATGCAATGAGATTGCTCAAGTCTTTCCCATAATTTCAGACAGCTTTTGCAGACTTGATTTTTGAAAATGACTTAGATGGTTTTCAGCCTCTTGTGGAAGGTTGCACATCTTGACAAAATGTTTTCTAATTAGCATAATGCTGAAATTATCCGTCTCCATTGCATATAGAAGATTCAATTGAGAATATAGGCCCCACAACTAACCTAAATCATGCATACATGTTGTACATAGTTATCTCGTATGCTGGCTCCACTATTGCATATAGAAGATTCACTTGAGAATATAGGTCCCACAACTAACATAAATCATGCATACATGTTGTTTATAGTTATCTCGTAAGTTGGCTCCATATTTTGGATAGATCATCATACTCCTTCTTTTATTGAGAAAGAAAAGTCAATGGTTTGACTAGGAACTCATCGACGGATGAATCGGTGCAATCTCAGTTTGATATACACATCGAATGGTCAAGAATACAAGTTTATCATGATTCTTGAATACGCAACATACTACTATTCGTGTACTTATGTTAGAAATTTTTTTCCTCGAACTTGAAGCTGATTTTATATATAATCTAAGAGTATTTGACATACTCTCCTCGATCTCTCAACACCTAAACTGATATATCTTGCTCCAATAGTCTGGACGCAAGTGAATAGCTACATGTTTTCACCTTATGAGTTACTATTTTTTACTTGATATGACTTAATCTCCTTGTCCTTGCTCCATTAGTCTGGAAGCAAGTGAGTGACTACATGTTTTCACCTTATGAGCTACTAATTATTACTTGATGTGATGTTTAGATTCCTTGTACCTCTAATACTTCACACACACTGCCATCTCTTAAACTCCATTGAATGAATTACAACTATGATCTGGTCTTTAGGTTTCACCCGGGAGCCAAAGATACCATATCTCCAAGAGCACCAAACTCTTTTATTTATAATCACTAAGATTTGTTTCATCAACTTCAAGATGCCACCCATCCTCCATAATCCTCCTTCTAAAATTTTCATCCTTTGATCCAAAAGCTCCTTAAATTTGGTGCATTTCACTTGCGCCGAAAATAAAACAAAAATAGAAATAAAAAGACGCCGAAACAAAAAATGTTTTCTTGCTCTGATATTTGTCAATTCAATGTCTAGTGTACTTTCAAAGCACGGTGTCTTCCAGTAAAAACATTGCAATGAGTATAGACTAAAAATTACTTCTGGCAATGCCGCTTCTTGAGAAGTGACTTTTGTAGTGTGTTTGTTTTGCACTGTTATCGGTAGAGAAGCTAATGTTGGAACCAAGCGCAAGAGATCGCAGAAGCTCAAGTATTGGTTGACTGGTTCGTTCTGTGTGGACAACTATTGCTCTCATATGCAGTCTCAGCATGATTCCAAATGGAATGAATATCAATTGCTGAACTCCATCGATGATCGTCTCGCTTTCTTTTAATCTATCGAAGTGCCTTATGTGAACATCTTGCATGCACATTTTGTCAACGAAGTATATGGGTTGCGTTTTTTGATTAACAAATAGTTTGTAGAAACAATCTTTGGAAAAATATTTTTTCATCCAGAGTATGTCAGACTCATACTCAAGCACTCACTATTTTCCAGATTGTAGATGAAGATGAGTTCAATGAAAGTGAAGTTTATTTTGCTGAAATCAAAACAGAGCCTTTGCATATGCCATCTTGTCTTTTAACCCCAAGCGTCGCCTTCTTACTCACCCTGGGCAATATTATCAGACTTCAGACTGGTAAGCGTACTACTAGAAGGCAATAACCGGCCAGCGGTGACCGGTGTGCAGTCTGGTGACCGTGCAAGCCCAAATCACCAGACTCGCGAACCCTATCCGTGCGCACTTGATTGATCAATGAACGAACGACGAACGCAGCTGACCAAACCGTGTCAACCGGCAACACCGGCCACGGTCCATGTTTTTCTTCAGCCCTGAACCTGGATTTCTTGTGAGTGGAAGAAAAACGTCCATCTTCATGTCCGGCTTGGAGAGTGGTGCGCTCTTCTCCGAGAAACAGGTGTCTCATGAATATTGGCTCGCAGAACCTGAAACTGCATAGCAAAATTGTTCTTCTTCGAACCAATATGTCTTAAACGAGAGATCGGTTCGAAGAAGAACAATAAAAATCAGTAGTATTTGTTCATTGGAGAATAATATTACAAAAATTCATAAAACTGTGAAATAAATATATTGATATTGATATATATATATATATATATATATATTCACGGTAATCACCACTTACTTGGGGACAGGCTGAGCGAACGCGAATTGTGCCGGGAATTGCGATTCGGACTGGAATCGGAGGCCAGGGATCGGCGGCAGCTTCCGGGAGGAGACTTTGGGGTAAAGGGTAAGGGTCAAGTGGGAATACAGCCATCTCTGATTTGCAGATAGGGGTCCATGTGCGAACGCAGTAATGTGGCCTCGGGAAAGGCGCTCAATGTTATGGCGCCGAGACTGGAGAGCGATTGTTGCGCGAGTAAATTTGGAATGCGTCGCTTCTTGCGGAAGTGATTGCGCAGCAGAACACTTTGGGAGGACAGCGGGAGATATTGTGCGACATGAGCAGGTAAGGGGACGCTCGAGCGGTACGGGCCAGCGGAAGTGTGGTACTAAACATACGTAAGAAATGCTCGACATGCTGACCTCTGTGCACGAAATGAATCGCAAAGCATAAAGTTGTAGTGGCGAGCCGGAGGGCCAAAGAGTCCGAGTCCGAGTCCCGACACAGGACGACTTGTATCACTTCCGTTGCATGCAAGGTTCAGAAGCAATTGCATGGTACCGAAGAACGGAGTCTGCAATCCGTCGGTGCAGAAATGTCCAGTGGTGCGCCTGATCTACCGTACAGTAAATTCAATCGGTGATTTGTAAAAGTAAAAGCAACGCAACTCAAATCTCAGACTGTAGTACTGACAGTGTTACACAAAATGTTCGTTCATATCACCCACCCACGTGCAACGATGGCTTTCGTCCACTTAGTCCTAGCTGCGAATGCAATTCGTTGCTCTCTGGATGCTTGGCTATCTATTTTTCCCAAGTTTGTGGTGCATTCGTATACTGTAAGTTTCAAGTTGAGAAATCGATTTCCGCCTCTGTAGGCTCCCACACCAGATCTGATTGGTGAGTGGATCGTAGAAAAATCTTTCCAGAACCCAACGAATTTTCGAATAAAGCCTCGAAGCTAAATGTAGGTTTTTTCTACACGCAGCTGTAGAAGAAAGAGTCAGAGCCACGATAACCCAACTTATCCGCAACAGTACCAGGCAAGTCAGCTACTTCGTTGTTTGTGCAAGCACTGGACGCTCACCGTCGACCTATGTCGCCCTATGAAGCCAAACTCTCTTGTACAGTCCTCGACTGCTGTCGGAAGACTAGGGGAACACGACTTCTCCAAGTTCGCTACAGTTGAATGGCAAATACTATACCAATTTAGTGTGCGACTTGGGAAGGATACAGAGAACTAGCACCAGAGGTCCATGTCGGGATTTGATATTGCTGGAAGAAAGCCGCGAGGCATGTCTTGCTGCTCATCTCGGGTGAACGAGAGGAAAAATATCTTCAGCTTTGAACAAGCAATCATCAGCTCCCCCGCTACAACAGACATCGAAGAGACGCAGAATTCTCCAGGCACAGCAGGCCGGAAGAGTGGACGAATGATGATGCACTTCGGCAATTCTGGAAGGATAAAGGTTAGGAGGAAATCAATGACAAAATTCAAGAGGCTAGAAAGCTTGCCGGACCAGCTGGTCCGGTAGCGATTTGCTGATTTGTTGTATTCGAGAGGAATTCTTAAGCGCGAAAACAGCAAAAGCAGTAACTTAATTTGATATCAAGGGGAAGCAGTGCAGGGAGAGAAGGCGTAGGTGAATCTCACCGGATTAATCCCAGAGAAGCATTCGAGCAAGAGCTCTAATTTTGTGCTCTTCTTGGCCACTGAACATTATAGTATGAGCTGAAATAAGAAAACTGCTGATGTTCTTGTCCGGAAACCAACGAAGACGAAGTAAATGAGGCCACTGCATTCGTACAGACACAACAGAAATGATTTCAATCATCAAACTTGGGGCGTGAAATGATTTCAATCATCACTCTTAGGCAGTGCTTTGTTACAAGAGAAGTCTGGGAAGCTGACCCTACACTGTAGAGTTCCCTCATGATCACGTACTAGGGTTATAAGCCACGCTTTCACAGGCTCCATTAGTAACGAAGTGACCCGAAGGCGATCTCCTCTGGGACTCTTCATCATCCTCTAATGTCCTCTATGTACTACGCGAACCGGGCTTTAATTGCGTTCGCAGTAGTCTCTCATTAAAAGAAATCCTAATGACGACAAATTGATTAATTCGCAGGAGGATAAATCCCCAGGACCCCAGCGTGTAACCAAGAGGGAGACACAACGCCTCCTACGGCTCCCAAATTTAGGGGCGGACGATTCGTCCTCTACAACCGCGGAACTGTTGGTGGTCTTGTCAAGACAGCCATAAATCTGGGAGAATCCTATGAGCATTGGGTATCAGGATCCTACTTCATTCATGAGGAACAAATAACGGGATTCATAGAAGGCAGTTCGTGATTGATTGTGAAGAAGCAGCCAATCCACATATTCTCGTGGTCCTAGTATACTCTCCGATAAAAGGGTCGAACATTCCAAACGTCTGAGTTTTTTTTCCCTCTGAAGCACCACAACCGGAGATGTTTCGTGGTTCACGTAAAGATGAATGGCTTTAACGCAGCAACATTCTCAACGTGATACAGAAGTGTATGAGAATGAATGTATCTTTCTCTCACCAGTTCCAAGAGAAGCATTCATGTCGACAAATCATTCACGAAAAGTTCCATGTTTATGACCAAAGGTTAGGGTTCAAAGTCTGAACTTGTATAGTAAAAGAGCTTCAAAGAACATAAAGCTGCAGAAAGTGTCTCCATCCAGACAGACGACAACTCGCACCCGCTTCCTCCGCAACTTCTTTCCATTCACAGACTTTTCCCTTGTCATCACACTCCAAGAGTACGAGTCTTGAGATAAGAACAGATATGCTCATATCGACCGTTTGGTAAATTGGCACGTAGTGCACACATGGCACCAACCCTTCTTCTTCTTCATAGTGAGAGCACCCATCAGTTTTATCCTTTCATAGCGACTGGTGGAAAGCGAGTGCCGTCACGACCTACAACAGATGCTCCGAACACACGACTCACAATTCTGGGAGAATGCTCGCGTGCGCTTATACACACACACACACTCTCTCTCTCTCCTTCCTCATGTCACATTCATTCGATCCTCTCGGCCAAGCCAACAGGACCATAGGGGAGGAGCCTGCGGGGGTGGAGCCCAAGGTCCCTCTTTGTATCCCCCCATTGAATTGCTTGAAACACTCAGCGCACTTCGTTGCGGGGCGTGGTCGAGGTGTTTAAGTACCTACCTCGCTCCTCACTCTCCTGAAATGATCCGGTGCTCATGGTGGGGTGTGCTGGTGACTGCAAGTCTGGGTTCCGGATTGGGTTGGTGAAGCGTTCGACAGAGAAGACCTAACATTGCCAAGAAAAAATCTCGGCATTTATATATTCTCGCTGTAAGCTTTTTGTTCCTGTGCTGGGCAGGAGGGGCAAAATGTCCATCCTACTGTTGGCTGCACGGCCCCCGAGGGGACCTTACAGCGAGGAAAAGAAAAAGCAAAGCTGTTTCGGTCAGCGTCATTTTCGAATTCCATTTTTTTATTAGCACCTGCCGGACAGAGGGCCTGAGCCCCTCTGAGCCTGCTCCCCTCCTCCCCTCCGAGGGAAGGTTATAACGAGCTCTGGCGCATGGGAAGAAAGTCCGAGATAACCCCCCGCACCCCACCATTCCGCAATACGATACTGTACCACGGTGCAGATTCACATCCATAATGATCGTGCCCTCATTTCTCTCCCAGGAGCTTGAAAATTCGGCGACGCTGTGCTGGGCTGGGCTGTGGGGCAGAGAGCGAGCGACGCAGAAAGAAGAGAAGTGAAGAGAAGAGCCGATCAGGAGACGGGCCCGAAGGTCGGTTGAATGATGATGGCGATCATGAGGGAGGAACTGGGGACGAGGTAAAGGGCCAGGGGATTTCCATGTGAGGACTTAAGTGAAGACGACAGATATGATTACCAGTTAAGACAGGGCACGATGTCGGACCGTCGGATAAAAGAAGCCATCTTGTTATACAACCGCCTGCGGGCTGACTAAAAGAACCGGTCATGCGTCAGGATAACATCCAAACCGTCGATGCGGCTGGTGTCGGAGCCGAACAGGCGAGAGCCCGCCGACCATCACGGGCCGGTCACACGCGGGCGACGGGAGCCGTCCGATCGCGGAATCGACGGCCTCGTGACCCCGGCGCGGGGGTCGGGCCCAGGCGCCTCCAGCCCCACCGAGAGCCGACGTGGAGCGGAGATCTCGACCCCACCGTCGATCCGCGCCATAGATTGATGGAGCGCATGTTCGGCTTTCGATTGTTCTCCTGTGCCCACCCAGTCCCGTGCCGGTCCCGGTCCCGGTCCTGGTCCCGGGGCAGCGGAGCGGAGCGGCCGGGCGCGTCTGGAGCGCTGTCTCTTGTCCCTCGCTCTCGCTCTCTCGCCCTCTCTCCGTGGCCTCTCTCTGTCTCCGGTCTCGAATGATCTGCTGCTGCTGCTGCTGCTCTGGGCTGAGAGACGAGTGAGCAGGCGGACGACGAGGAGGAGGGAGCAGCAGGCGGAGGCAAGAAAGAGCGAAGATCCGCGGAGACTAGACGACTTGGGGCGACGAGAATAGTGGTAAATGTCGTGCGCAGCTCGCACGGATCGGAGGATTTGAATCCGGATTCGGTATGAGCCCGTGCCGCAGCGCAGAACAAGGTGCGGTTTGGATCGGGAGGGAGGGAGGACGGACGAGACGTGACGGGAGGATGAGCGAGGGCTAGGAGGTCGGAGGGACTCGAAGAATTGGTGCCGTTCCTGTTGCTGCATTTGCCGGGAGCTAATTGAGCAGTGACGAGGGGGTGTTTGAGGCGCAATTGGTGGATGCGAGGCGGTTGACTGAGTGAGTGACTGGAGGCCCGAGGACCCGTGAGGGAACAGGAGTTCGGTGTAGAATGGTGGAGAAGGGAGCAGGGCTGCGGGACCGTACAGGTGGCGGAGGAGGAGGAGGAGGCGGTGGAGTCGGGCAGCAGAGTTGAACAAGGTACGGTTTGAAGTGGGGGAGAATTAGAGCTGGTTTCGGTTGTTTGCAGAATGTAGCTCATCAGTGTTTGTGACCTTGCGATGGAAGTTGATTTGCAATGTGCGTGATCTGCATTCGTCCGTTCGTAGTGGACACTTTGTCCTCGGCGCTGTTTTCGTCGAAGCCGATGAGTATAATGTCCGCTCGCCGGGAATGTGTCGCCGAGAGAGCTGACTGAGGAGATTCCCCGCCTTCTGAACAGCTCGTGTTTTCAGAGAGCATAGGATCACAGCAGCCTCGGGACGAGGCTAGCCTACTGTAGGAGAGACAAGGATGATAGACGGTTGGTACTTGCGCAGTATGACATCATTCCAGTCGTTCGCGAAATTATCAACCCCGACATTTCTGACTTAGAGCGTGGGCTGCAATGCCGATATCATTGAGGTTTATCACTTCACTTTCCTGCTGCGTTTTTGTGTTGTTCTGGGAAGTGGTCTCGTGCTAAGGATTCAAGAGACGAAGCGACCTGTGCGACGCTGATGAAACTTTTGATAAGATGCATCATTCATCAACTTGTGACATGTAAGGTTGCTTTAGTACGTAACCATTGAGTCCCGTCCCTGTCGTAGAGTCGGGCATCCCGTCCACAAAATGATGGGGACTTCCATATTTCTACGTGATGCCAAGCCTAGCTGCTAACGACAGAACCTTATTTTGTCCACGGTACGTCAAGAATTCGTGGACACTTGGTGGAAATCATTATGGTGGCTACCGTCGTCACTCGATGGACCGCACTCAAATCCAAGAAATGCTTTTATATGTTCTCCTATTATTTTTAATCATTTCTTAAGCTTTGTCTATTATGTTTTTGAAAATGCTAGACTGTTTTAGTACATATGCCGTGCTGATTGCTAGCTGCAAGTCGTTGAGGGCCGAGCTATCACTCGCTTTGGTCGCAAGTCTTACAGCTCCCTGATGATCGAGTTTAGCTACCAGTCTGATAATTTTTGGACATTTTTTTTCAACACCTTGTGTCTTCCCTCTCAGGAGTAGACCGGTGACAGCGAGATTCTTGCCCGTCATGAGTATCGATGTGAAGGGACGAGTGTGAAGTGCTTACTGTGAGTGGATCGATATGGAGCCGATCGTTTTTGGCTTCATCGGAGCGGCTTCCGTCATCGTGGTTGCCCTGCTCGTGCTGATATTTTTCCAGCTCTTTCTGCTTTTCCGGCACAAGAATAAGGAGCCGATTCTTCCCTTAGTCCATCCGAAGGGAAAAGAATCGTCATCTTCTTTCAGATTCAAGGCTCAAGGCAAGATGACTCTCCCAACCGTGAATGGTTCATTCAGAGTCTGAGAAGTGAAGCTTTTGTGTATGTACTACTTGTTGCGCGCAACTCACTATCGTAACCTCCTCCTGTCCGTTGCCGACTGGTTCCATTCTTGATTTTGGGCATTGTTTATGAGGTCCAGATCGAGGTCGCGTGTTCTCTTTCAAAGAAGCGGAAGAAGTCAGCGAAGGCTTCAGTAATCATATCGGCGACGGAACCACTTACCTTGTCTTCAAAGGCATACTGCCGGATGGCACCGAAGTTGCCATCAAACGCATGAGAGGCAATCTAGTCTCCGTTAGCAGTGAAGAAACCAAATTTCAGCTGCAGGTATGGTTCGCGGATCAAGGCCGTGCATCTTTCCAATTTTAGGAAGTTCAAGATCGTGATCGTTGGACACTAGCAGTCGACCCCTAGGTTTTCTTCCACAATGCACAAGAACGAGCTCGACACTGGCAAGAGAGTGTACACTCCCTGTAGATCGAACTAGCGTGTGTCGACGATGATTTTCATGCCGCCTCCTAATAGCTTTGAAGCTCAGTACAAACGTTGCATTTCTTTGGCAGGTAGATTTGCTTTACCGGGTTCATCATCAGCACATTATCAATCTTATCGGATACTGTGATGAGAGTCCTCACCGGTCAGTCTTGCATCGTTCTTTACTTTCCACTTACTTTTTGCATGATGATGATGATTTTCTGCTTTACCGTTTTTGGGACAGTACTTCATCGTGGTGCCGACCAATGCTAACTTTCTTTTACTTTCCCTGTATTGATGCATCAGGATGCTTTTCTGTCAGTATGCTCCGAATGGCTCCCTCTTCGAAATGCTCCATGGTGGTACGACGACTAACACTTGCTTGTAAACCGAAATGGCGTCGCTGGCTCTTGTAAATTTCCTAGTCTCTGGTGCTCGAGTCAACTTTGTTGCAGTTTTTGTGGCCGGGTTATTAAAACGTGAAGAGACTTGTTCATGCAGATGAGATTCAAGACGAAATGCTCACCTGGAAACAAAGAACGAGAATTGTTATGGGAATAGCTTACGGACTCACATATTTACATCATTCTTGCAACCCTCCAATTATCCATGGAGAGCTGACATCAGTCAATATAATGTTAACCGAAGATTTTGCCGCCAAGGTAAATCGCCGCAGATTGTGCTTTCTCGAAGCTCTGTCTTTCGGTTGACATTCGTGTGGTTCAACTGCATCAGCTAAGCAAAGAAGGTCCGTTTTCCCAAGAAGTTCAGTTGTTCTGCATGTATGAAACTTAGACTCTCCTCTGCTGCAGATAAATGGCTTGGGCAAGGTTCCTCTATTACGATCCAGTTCCGATTTTCAGTCTGGAAGATTATCAACCAATGGGGATCCCTACTACGATAACCCCCCGACCGACCAGAGGAGTCTGTACAGTCGGGCTAGCGACGTTTACTCATTTGGAGTGCTGTTATTAGAACTCTTGACAGGAAAGGTAGCTTACAGTGACGAGCTCGGCCCACTTGCAGAATGGGTAAGTACTCTTTACCGTCGGTCCCCTCGATCCACGTTCAAAAAACACGAAGATCCTGACAATATCATCCATGGATTTTTTAAGGGTCCTAAATCTTTTCTTCTTGTAAGTTCTTGACCAGTGCATTGGGTTTACATGCCTGTGGGTTGTGCAGGCAAATCCATACTTAGTAGATAAGGGGAACATGCCCGGCATGATGGACTGCAATCTCAAGAATGTAAATATCTTGGAATTTTGTGCCGTAAGTGAAGTTGCACGTCTCTGTACACAAAGCGACAGCCCCTCCCGACCTTTAATGAGTGAGGTCTTGGATATGTTACACCAAATTATTAACATATCTGTAGAAGTAGCCGCCCCAATCAGCAGCCCAGTCACTTTGAGAGGACTTATGGCTGCGTTTACATGACAAAGCAGACACTCCCATTCTTTATCACTGAACAGCCTAGAACTAGGTTTGGATTTACAAAGCATTCGTAGGCGAAGGCAAATGCTTTGGTCATTCATTACATGGTAGTCTCTTGTATAGTCTCCCATCATCGCGCATCAAATGTTTCTTCTTCTAATTGAGGGCGGGCACACCTCTGCTTTCTCTGGAAAGATAAGGTCACCTCGTTGTTACATAAAGTAATGTTCTTCACAATGGATCTCGACCAAGCATAGAGTTCGACTACGTCTTCTTTAAGTAATTTCTAAGAATTGATGTTGTAGCAGTGCTAATCGGTGGACGGTTCCGTCCTCACTCTCTGAACCTGTGTGGAATTTAAGTTGTGCACATCAAATCAGATAAATTTTAGCGGCAAGTTTTGGGAAAGCACACTAGCTTATCTCAGATGCTACAAGGTTCTTTGAATTTGAAGTTCTTCCTTTACCTTCTATTCACCTTCATTAGTTTTAACTGTGACAGTGCAAACTAGATTCACTTCCATCAAGGAACATTGGATACTCGTCTACCAACGTTATCAACGCTATCTGATGAGTTATTCCTTCCATAGCCACGATGGAGAGAACAGAGATGGCCAAGCCAAGTAACATTGCCATACCTTGAGCACGTCTTAAGGGCCCACGTTAGCTTTGTTTTGTGAAGAAAAGTCTGTAGTATGTGCAGACAAGGGTTACCAGATTCCGTTTATCATTTAATTTTCTCCACAGTCCTGTCTATATAATATTACTGGAAACTCGAGTTGTCTTTTTCTTGGAGTGAAATACGAACATAGATTGGAATATAAGATATGACGGGAGTTAGAAAGCATCATCTTTAACAAATTTGTCATGGTAGTTGAATCAGCTATAGAAAAGAGTTTCTATGGGCATACTCCGAAAGTTTATATATTTCTGGATATGTGATTGGTGTAAGGAATAATATACTTGTTACAAGGCAGTGCTGACAGCAGTTCTCTTGACCTCCGTGACTGACCCGTAAACGTTGTACAAACTCTAGCCGTCGTCTTCATGTCTTGCATAGAAGCTGAGTCTACAGTAATATGAATATTCCCCATTTTTTCTTGGCCAGTTTCTGCCTCGAATAATCTGCATACGATAAGCTGTGGGAATGTATTTTTTCTGACAGTCTTGACTGATCTCGGATATACATTACACGTATGGTAAACAACAATGAAACACGACATGTGTATCCTTCACAAGTCATCGGGCTTCGCGATACCGTTCCTTTCCAATTAGACGGCCTTGTAAAGGCTCTTCTGCTGTAATTTTAAAAATTGATAACGACCACAGTATAGCATCTCAAGGTGATGTCCGTTCTTTTTCAATGTTTTTTTCTGGGTATGTCCGTCCTAAATACGATTCCTAAGTCTGTCGAATTCATGAAGTATTGACGGAAAATTTCACACGAGCAAGATTGAAAGTGTTATCAGTCGTTCGTTCCTTCTTACATAGGAAACCCTGTTTACTTTGCACAAATAATGCAAAGTTTAAGGAGTATACATCTATATGAGATTTTCCTTTGGAAGCCCAAGCAGTCGTACGAAGAAATTCATTCATACTTTACCTTGTGGCCTCAAATATTCGTGTTGCAAAAGTACAACTAGCAGCCAACCATAAAACAATTTGTTTCATATTGTCTTCGTGAGAATAATCCCTAGCCTTGTAAGTCTTGGTACTTCAATTTAGCCAGAAAGGTAATGAACTGAAGTATAAAGTACCTGAAGGACACCTACCAGCCCTTCCATCTGAAAATAAATATTAGAGCAAATCCTAGCATTATATCGTCATAAACATACGCAATTTGATAATTTATTGCCTAGAATAGTATAGTTATCCAGTTGGATTTCCAAAGCTTCTCGCTTCTTTAGTCATCAAATTACCATGTCTCTTACAAATAAAAAAATATTGAGAGTGATAGATTGGATTGTACGATGGTTCAAGTTCATATAGGTTAAAATTTCTGTGATACAATGTAAGATTATATGATTCTCATAAGATTAGATCACGAGATGAAAACACAAATGACTGTTTACAGATATCTTGATTACAAACATGGTTGCAACATCATGTTAAGTGTGATGTGTTATTGGGGCCTATCCCCGTCCACCTTCTGGTTTCATACTTGTGGTACCAAATGGGTTTTCTCAATATCTTTAAATCACTTAGTCCATCTTTTTCTAATATGCTACTCGTTTTGTATCTTATTTAGTCTGAGCTTTATAAACTATCTTTTGCCACTTTCTGGGCGATAATATGAACACTTTTGTGCATAATGTATAGAATAATAATTTTAGTTGTAGTAAGTTCCATGTATATTGAAATAAGTGAAGCTTGTGCTTAATTTTAACATCGATATAAGAGAATTATGAAGGATTAAATTTTTTTAGTTTGTGTATATATTTTTTGAAAATAAAAGAAATAATCAACTATAATCACGACCTTCTATATAATAATTGATTAGTTCAAATATATCAATTTCTGAATGCCTCTTAGTTTACTTTTCTTAATTGTGAACTCCAAGATTATCATATAATCTCAAATTATCTACAACATTCATACACCTCATGACTCAAAGCATGACATATTATAAATGCATTGAAATATTTGAAAAACACTAAACTTTCTTTACTTTACTTTGGGAAGATGTCACTATTTATTTCTATATTTGTGGCATATAGATATTTGACTTGATAGCAGAAATCTATCCAATATATGGTACCAATACTAAACAGCCTATGACTCAATTACAACATGAGTAACTAAGATCAAGCGTTGCATATGAATGTATGATTCTTAAAGACTCACCAATCTTTTGTTCAACCTCTTGAAGATACTTAACTTCTAAGTCTTCACCCCTTGATAGTTGTTCTTCAACCTCTTGAAGAACTCCACAACCTGGCTAAATGAAGGTACATCACCAATGACTCCACTCAAACTGCCAACATCAATGCTTCTAGTATCGCTGTTAGTGTCTTCACTAGCTGCACCATTGGTAAGTCCACTAGTACCAATTTTAGTACTTTCACCAGCAGCTCCATTGGTACCGTTCCTGGTAACTTCACTAGTGCTCATACTCGCACCTTCACTGGTAGCAACACCACTGACAACTTCATTAGTATCAACATCATCATGATGATAGGCAGGAAATTTGGAGCCAATGGCGTCTCCATGCGTCAATCTTCACAACATAATCTCTTTCAAACTTGTCGATATCTCAACCCACTCCACGTAAATCCACCACGGTACTTGAGAAGACCATGAAACTGCTTCGTGATGACGCAAAGCAAATTTTCAAAAGTTTTTTGAAAGTTTGGATTGTACAACTCTCAAAACTTTAGATGATAGTGCACCTGGAAAGAAGTCTGATTAGATCTTATGAAGTTTATTCTGATTTCACAATAAACAAAACTAATTTGTATATCAGTTTTGTTTGTTGTGAAGTCGGACTCCAACATAAAGTCTAGCCGATGATATAATCATTAGATTCCGTTGAGATAAAGATAGCTGATACCTCAACCCACATAAATCCACCACAATCCTCAACAGGACAACGGAACTCCTATGTGATGACGCAAAGCAAATTTCCAAAAGTTTCTCAACAGTTTGGATTGTACAACTCTTGAAAGTTTATATGATAGTGCAACTAGAGAGACGTCTAGTTAGATGTTATGAAGTTTCATCCAATTCCAAAATGAACAAAACTGATTTGTATATCACTTTTGTTCGTTGTGGAGTCATATTCCAACGTAAAGTCAAACCAATGATATAATTGTTAGAATCCGTTTAAATAAAGGTAGCTGATACCTCAACCCACTCCGCATGAATCCATCACGGTACTCAAAAGGACCACCGAACTGCTCCGTGATGAGGCATAGCAAATTTCCAAAAGTCTCTCAAAAAATTGGATTGGACAACTCTCTAGAGTTTAGCTGATAGTGCAATTGAAGAGAAGTCTAGTTATATCTTAAGAAGTTTCGTTTGATTACACAATGAACAAAACTGATTTGTTCGGTGTGGAGTAGGACTCCAACATATAGTCAAGCCGATGATATACTCCCTAAAACTTGTTTAGATAAAGGTAGGCGATACCTCAACCCACTCCGCATGAATCCATCACGGTCCTCGACAAGACAACGTAATTGCTCCGTGATGGCGCAAAGCAAATTTTCAAGAATCTCTTGAAAGTTTGGAGTAAACTTTCAAGATCTTTAAATTCAAGATGGAGTCTATCGGAGATTTGGATTCTATAACTCTGATAAGTTTAGGCGATAGTGCAATTCGAAAGAAGTTAGGTTAGATCTTATGAAGTTTCTTTTGATTCCACAATAAACAAAATTTATTTGTATATCAATTTTGTTCGTTGTGGAGTTAGACGCCAATGTATAGTCGAATCTATGATATAATGGTTAGAACATGTTTAGATCAAGGTAGCCGATACCTAAATCCACTCCGCATGAATTCATCACTGTCCTCGACACAATCATCGAACTGCTTCATGATGACGTTGAGCAAATTTCCAGAATCTCTTAAAAGTTTGGATTGTATAACTCTTAGAAGTTTAGGTGATAGTGCAATTGGAGAGAAGTCTGGTTAGAACTTATGAAGTTTCATCTGATTTCTCAGTGAACAAATTGATTTGCATATCAATTTTGTTCGTTGTGGAGTCCGACTCCAACGTATAGTCGAGTCTATGATATAATGGTTAGAACATGTTTAGATAAAGGTAGCCGATACCTCAATCCACTCCGCGTGAATTCACCACAATCCCCGAAAGGATCACCAAATCGCTTCGTGATGATTTAGAGCAAATTTCTAAAAATCTCTCAGAAGTTTGGATTATACAACATTTGGAAGTTTAGGTGATAATGCAACTGGAGAGAAGTCTGGTTAGATCTTACGAAGTTTTGTCCGTTTTCACAATGAAACTGATTTGTATGTTAGTTTTGTTCGTTGTGGAGTTAGACTTCAACGTAAAGTCAAACCAATGATATAATCGTAAGAACCCGTTTAGATAAAGGTAGCTCATACCTCAATCCACTCCATGTGAATCCATCATGGTACTCGACAGTACAACCGAACTGCTTCGTGATGACGCTGAGCAAATTTTCAAGAGTCTCTTTAAAGTTTGGATTGAACAACTCTTAGAAGTTTAGGTGATATGGCAACTGGAAAGAAGTTTGTTTAAATCTAAAGAAGTTTCGTCTGATTGCACAATGAACGAAACTGAATTATATATAAGTGTTGTTTGTTGTGGAATCAGACTCCAACGTATAGTTGAGCCGATGATATAATTTTTAGAACTCATTAAGATAAAGGTAGCCAATACCTCAACCCACTCTGCATGAATCCATCACGATACTCAAAAGGAGCACTGAAATGTTATGTGATGACGTAGAGCAAATTTCCAAGAATCCCTCAAAGTTTGAATTGTACAACACTCAAAAGTTTAGGTGATAGTGCAACTAGATAGAAGTTTGGTTAGATCTTATGAAGTTTCGTCTGATTCCACAATTAAAAAAACTGATTTGTATATCAATTTTGTTCCTTGTGGAGTAGGACTCCAACGTATAGTTGAGTCGATAATATAATCGTTAGAATCCGTTCAGACAAAGGTAGCTGATACATCAATCCACTCCGCGTGAATCCACCACGGTCCTCGACAGTACAACCGAACAGCTTCGTGATGACGCAGAGCAAATTTCCAAGAGTCTCTTAAAAGTTTAGATTGTACAACTCTCAGAAGTTTAGGTGATAGTGCAACTAGAGAGAAGTTTGGTTAGATCTTATGAAGTTTTGTCCGATTCCACA